TGAAACAAGAAATCTATTTTCCTTTGGATTAATATCATAAAATACTCTAAACTTGTATAATTATGACAAATTTATTCCAAATTGATTTTTTGATCACGAAAAACCTCAAACTGGTACACATGTGATAAATTTATCTCAAACTAATTTTTTGATCATAAAAAAGCCAAAACCTGTACACTTGTAATAAATTTACTCTCCGTTAAATTAGATTAACACGACAAAAAACCACAAATTTGTAAATTCGTGGCAAATGAAGGGGTAAAATTCTAAACTGGTACATCTATCAACTGTCACGTATCATCCAATTCAGTAATTTGACAATAAAATTCAACGGAAACTAACAGAGGGTAAATTTATCACATGTGTATCATTTTAGGATTAGTTTGGGGTAAATTTATCACAAATGTATCAATTTGGAGATTTTCGTGATATTTATCCTTTTATTTTTACTTTATTTCTTTTCCTCTCTTGTTGATCCCTGGGTCCCACTTGCTTTATTTTCTTGCTCTTGTACGATAAAAGCCACAAGTGATAGTCTTGGCTCTTCTTATTTCAACAATTAAAGAAGCCCGAGTCTTTTTTTTTTTTGGTAAAGGAAGAAGCCCGAGTCTTCATCTTGGCAAATTCGGATATTTACGAAATTGCTACCGTTCCAAAGAAAATAAATAAAGAAAATTAACAACCCTTATCTCGGATGAGTTCTTGGTGAATTGTGCTTCAAAAAGTATACGTATACCTTTCTATGTGTCGGACACCTCCTTTCGAAGGAACTAGAGACAAGCCTTAGACGTCTAAATGAATGTATTTAACTGGTCGCTTGGTCAAATGAATAGATATAGTAAACTAAATTTGACGCTACTTTCCAAAGATGCAGTGCTCATATAACTCTAACTTCCCTATCTTTTAACCCTTGAACAACCCCCTCTCATTAAGTATCATCATAAGTGCCTCACTCATATGCCTCAACCACATATGCTACAACTAAGTCACGTCAGAGTCTGACTCACCTGATGAAACTGCAACAGCTCCGGTTATGTTCTTTCCGAATAGATGATAGTGAGAACTCACTTTCTTTCCCTTCATCACTGTCATAGCACCTTGAGAAATCTTCAGTACTCAACTTTCAGCGATGTACTTACACTCAATATCATCGAGTGTCCCTAAAAAAATAAGGTTTTTCTTGAACTCCAGTACATGCCTCACGTCTGTCATTATACGCACCACCCCACTGTATATTTGAATCCAAATTGTCTTTATCCCCACAACCTTGCATGCTATGTTACTCCTCATCATAACTCTATCCCGAGGCGTCATATGATAAAATACCCTGAATCTAGCACCCATTCGTCTCTTGACGAATCAGTAGTTACGCACAAAATAGCATATGCATCACTAGTGCTCTCCTCAGCAACGTTCGCCACCTTGCTTGTGGCATTCTACCTATCACCTTTATTTCTCAACTTAGGACAATATCTTCTAAAGTGTCCTTCCTTGTGACACTCAAGGTAGTTCATGCATTCTTTGGACTTTTCTATAGTGTGATTTTGACCTACTTTTACTCTGTAGCTATTGGACCCCCGATGTTGATTTTCACCACGAATCACCAGTCCTCGCGCTACATCCTGTGCTAGACTGTTCTTCATCATCGAGTATCTTACCAACTTTTTTCAAATCCATCACGAGTTTATTAAATTCATCTAGGTGTGATATGATCGACGTACCTTCAGTGCATCAAAATTGATACATCATCTTTAACATGTATAAGTGATTGTTCAAATCCTTTGTTACATAGAATGCCTGAAGTTTTGCCCATAACGCTACAACATCCTTCTCTTCAGCCACCTCTATTAACACCCCATCCAATAGATTCAACAAGATTATACTCTTTGCTTTCTCCATTAGCTCTACCTTTTCAACGGCTTTCATTATAACCAGCAACCCATATTCCCCATCCAATGCCTTGGCCAAACCATGGGTTGTTAATAGTGTACACATCTTGACGCTTTATAACCGAAAGTTGTACCTTCCGTTAAACCTCTCAATTTCAACTGACCCTCCAGACTAATTGCAATAGAAGAATTTCCAAATAATAATCAAATAAGCAAAGGCCCCAAATCACAATCTAGAAAAATTCTATCATCAAGCTCTTATACCAATTGTTGAAATATTAACGCGGAAACAACGTAATCTTGCTACCCACCCATCGGTGGCCGCGTTGGTTTGCGCTCAGTTCCTTTCACGAGAGGTCCTGGGTTCAAACTCGCCCATCGGTGATTTAAGTGGGGGGTCGTGGCGGTGGGATGCTGCGCTAGCCCCCCTCGAGGACTAGTCGGACATCACCGCTGGTTTGAGCCCTAGCTCACCGGCCGCGCGGACGCCTCGATTATCAAAAAAAAAAAACGTAATCTTGCTTACCTTACCAAAAAAAAACAACGTAATCTTGCAAATTAAGTCAATGTGAAAATACTAGAGAAATAAATGAGGAACAATAAAGAACATAGGCAATTTGCGTGGTTCAGTCCAAATATCGGTATCTATATCGACAAGAAGAGCCATCAATAATTAATACGCTATAATCGAATAATCATAATTACAATCACTCACACGTCCGAGAGTTTCTCAAATCTAAATTAAGCCAAAACCTAAAGTGTTTACAAATAAACCATCTAATTTGGATGTAAAACTCACAATACAAAATCACCATGTTACTGTCCCTTGCGATCAAAGAGAGCTTGACCATGCGTCCCTCTCTTTTCACTTCTTGGCTCTTTCTCGGAATTCGCAGGCGGCTCGTTCAATGTGCGTTCCTCACGGCTCAAAACCTCGCTGAAGAGAAAGACATGTGTTTTACATCTGCCCTTTCACAAGAGTCAACAAGACCAACTTTGATTAGGACCCATTGTTTGTGCGGCTGCTAGGAAAGAAACTCTAAAGCAAGAAAACCCTTTTTCTTTTTAGTTTATTTTCTTTCGTCTCTTATCACTCCCTGGTCCCACTTGCTTTCTTTTTCAGCTCATGCGCGGTAAAAGCTACAAGTGATAGTCTTTTCTTTTCCGAGGCAAAATGGCATAAAGAGTTTTTGAATTTTGACCCAATATGTAATGTATTTCCTGAACTTTTAATTTGTTCAATATAGTCCCCGAAATTTAGCTTAATATTTAATGTGGTCCCTGAATTTTTATTTTATTCAACGTCTTCCCTGAATTTTTGGTACATGTTCAATATAATCCCTGAACTATATGAAAATATTTCATATAGTCCCTGAACTTTAGCTTAATGTTCAATGTAATCCCTGAACTTTTATTTTGTTCAACGTCATCCCTCAACTTTTGGTATATGTAGTCCCCGAACTTTACCAAAATGTACATTTAACATTTTGGTACATGTTCATATAGTTCAGGGATTATATTGAACATGTACCAAAAGTTCAGGGACGACGTTAAACAAAATAAAAGTTCAAGGACCACATTGAACATTAAGCTAAAGTTCGGGGACTATATTGAACATTTTCATATAGTTCAGGGATTATATTGCACATGTACCAAAAGTTCAGGGACAACGTTGAACAAAATAAAAGTTCAGGGACCACATTAAACATTAAGCTAAAGTTCGGGGACTACATTGAACAAATTAAAAGTTCAGGGACCATATTGCACAACAATTAAAGAAGCCCAAGCCTTCGTCTTGGCAGATTCAAATATTTACGAAATTACCACGGTTCCAAAGAAAATAGATAAGGCAAATTAACAACCCTTATCTCGGATGAGTTCCCGGTGAATTGTTGCGGAAGAAATTAACAACCCTTATCTCGCAAATTCGAATTTTTACGAAATGGCTCAAAACCATGCCGAAGAAATTAATCCTCGAATGGATAAGTTCTTGATGAATTGTTGCCCGGTTTTTCTCCTAACACTTTTCTTCTACCCCCTTTTCCCCTCTTCCCCTTTTCCCTTTCCGCGCGAGCTCTCATGTCCATAGATAAAAGCTGAGCATCACTCTTCCCTTCTTTGACTTTTCGAAGTTTTTTTTTTGTTTGGTCCCACCCTTCACAGCCAAATATTACATACTGGCTAAAAGATCATCCGCTACAATCGCGACTGGGACAACGTTAGCTGACGAACCACAGTTGACAGTTTCCAAACAGCAGAGCCATTCGGATGCGAAGAAAGGAACAAGAACACGGGTTACAGGATCGCTAGACGGCTAAACTATAGCTGGTCCACAACACACAATCCCAAAGTACAATAGCAGGGGTTGATGTGAAGGAAAAACATAGAAGTAAGTAGATACAGAAGTAACTTGACTGTAAGTAGAGCGATATATATTTTCCGCTAAGCAAAGGATGAATCGAGAGGGGTTCCAAAAAGACCAGAAGCTATAGCCTTTTGGGTATAAATAAACATTAACATATGGTTATTTGAGTGAATGGTAGACCTGAGATGAGTACGAAATCAGAGCACTTGAATGGAGTACAATATGACATGTGTTTTTCATGTGTATGATTAGTCTTATTGAAATAGAACACATATTTTTCGATAACTTCGATAAATACGTGTAAAAACACAAGTATTGATAACATCATCACTAAAAAGGTGGAGGCAAATAGTACTCGTAGATACCACTGACCCGGTAACCTATTGGTAAAAGAGTCACATTCTTTTCTATAAGTTCACAATTCAAAAATTCGAATCATGTCATGAACGAATATCTATTCAGTTTGTGCTTTGGGCATTTACTATATCATATGGAAATCTCTAAATTTCAGGCATACTGGTGAGATCACAATACCAATTGACATGATTACGAGTGAATTGAATAGTTATAAATCAAATTGAACATTTAATAATGGACGTGGGACCATTACGATAGTGCTCAGAGGGTAGGTATGCCGGTCCCTGATTTGTGTCCTTTTGACTTGTCCAAAAAGAGAAAGACTTACTCTTGGATAATGATTGGAACGAGGAATAAAAACTAGTGGAGACTGATAAGGTAGAGATAAAAATAATTGCCGTGCGTGTCACGGGCAAACCTGCCCCGTATGCTCCATAAAGAACTGGACTCTTGCGTTCTTCTCCAATACATCGCCTGATTTCATTGCTTCTTCTCGATTGGCCATCTCTCTCTCTCTCTCTCTCTCTCTCTCTCTCTCGCTCTCTCTCTCTCTCTCTCTCAATGGAAAGGAAGCTCGTGCAGTACTCAGTGGTATCAATACGCTCTCTTTCTTCTGTTTCATTGCCCTGCCACTCTGTTGCTCATACTTTTAAGCCCACCAGAGTTGGAGATCTCTTGCGGACCTTCCTTGAACTTTTGTGTATCGACCGTGACATGGCCTCGTGTGTGGAGTTGTTTTGCAGGTGGACGCATTCACCGATACGGCCTTCAAGGGGAACTCGGCTGCGGTGTGCATCTTGGAAGAAGAGAGGGAGGAAGAGTGGTTGCAGGCAGTAGCGAGGGAGTTCAACATCTCAGAGACCTGTTACCTGACCCGGGCCTCGGCCTCGGAACACGTCAGCTCGGCCGATGGGAGATCGAGCCCGAGGTTTCGGCTCAGGTGGTTCACTCCAGTTGAGGAGGTGAGCGACTTTCGGATTCCATGTTCCCATCGTTGCTTGCTTTAATTTGGCAGGTGCAGGATATAGAAAGTGTGTTGCTTATAAATGACTAAAATCTCTTTGCTCTGCTTCCCACGTGCATGACTATACTCGATTTTGTGCATTGCTAACTTTACTTGAGTGCTTTTGGAAACTTTCTATCTTTATCATAGCCAACAAAAATGACAATTTTCTGTTCTTTCTCGTGGTTAACATCCCGGTTTTGTTTTGATTCTTCTAATTTGGGATAATTCGTGGCTTCTGAGTTCCGCCGCATTTAATCAACCATGGACAGCTTGATGAAGAATTTGTCGACATTTTGATTTCTATTTGTCCTTCACTGTCCGTTTTAATCTCATTACTTAGGATTACAAATTAATTAGGTAATTGTCCCGTTATCAGATGAAATTAAATGGATTATCGTGTGGGACTATGAATTATGTTGATGCTGTTCGATCGACCTCCAAGTCCAATTCCGAGCCTCTGATGTACTTGAGAGATGTTTGATTTGTCATCAAAACAATCCATTTCCGCCAGACTATTCTATCTGGTTTTTGCTCTGATGCCTGGTGTTAGATAGAGGCAGTAAACATCAATTTAGATAATGAATGAGATCCATGCAAGTATGTCCCATTTCAGTATGGAAGAAATGCTACTGGAAAGTGGAAACTGGTAATCATATTATCTAATCACAAATTTTACCTTTCAGGTTGACCTCTGCGGTCATGCAACGCTAGCTGCTGCGCACACTCTTTTCACATCTGGGATGGTAGATTCTGACACCATCGAGTTTATGACGTTATCCGGAATTCTGACTGCTAAAAGGGTTCCAGAAACGAAGTCATCCGACAATTCGAAGATTCAAGATGGTGATGTGCCCGGAAAATGGATCGAATTGGATTTTCCTGTAGTCCCAATCACGGAAGATGATGCCGAACGGATTTCCTCTGTCTCCAAAGTTCTCAATGGCACTTCCATTGTTGAAATCAAGAAGACGGCAAAGGGCGACCATTTCGTAATTCCTCAACTGAAACCTGATCGTTTTCTTTTCCCCATAAATACTGTTTTGACTACATCGAACACCTTGCTTCCTCTTTGAGGCAATAGTTTTCATTCTGTTGAATCGAGGATTCGTACAGCAGCAGCTGGCATTAAGCTGTATTCATTAGGAAGAGGAAGTGATTAATGCTTTCATTTCTACTTTCTTCTGCTTATTTTCGCAGGTTGTTATTTCATCAGGGAAAGAAGTTGAAGAATTTCAGCCTCAGTTTGATGAGATACAAAGATGTCATGGGAGGGGTATTATCATCACAGGATCGGCTCACCCAGACTCAGGATTTGATTTTGTCAGTCGATTCTTTTGCCCAAAACTTGGGGTGAATGAGGTATTGAAGCTGATATTTTGGAAAGTTTCTTGAATTATCAATCATCCTTAGTTCAACAACTGTCCAATTAGTTGGTTATATGTCGAAAACTGTTCTGTCAACCAAATTTATGCTCTTCCACAACCCCCTGAATGAATAATCTATTTTTCAGGATCCTGTATGTGGCAGTGCACATTGTGCTTTGGCAGCTTATTGGAGTGAAAAGCTGGGGAAAAATGATTTTGTTGCCTATGCTGTAATCCATCTCTCTCTCTCTCTCTCTCTCTCTCTCTCTCTCTCTCTCTCTCTCTCTCTCTCTCTCTCTCTCTCTCTCTCTCTCTCTCCGTGCATGCGCAGTTTCTCTCATCTCTCAAATGGTACGTAAATCAATGACTTTCGATTGCATCTTGCTACTTCCCTAATCATTTTCATGTCTTGCAGGCATCGCCCAGAGGTGGAGTAGTGAAGGTGCACATGGACAAGCAGAACCAGAGAGTGACGTTGCGCGGCAAAGCTGTAACTGTAATGAGGGGCTCTCTTCTCGTTTGAATTTCTAGCTCTTCTACTTCATTTTGGCCTTCTAGCACGTGAAAATCCTGTACGTGAGAAATAAATGATATAAATGATCTTATGTTTTGGGTTCGGTGAAACCAATTGGAATAATGTGAACTGCCTGAGATAGCATCCTTTCCTGTATGAGAGGTACTCAATTTGCTTGCGGTGGAGAGTAAACTGAAAAGTGTTGAATCAATCACATGGCTCTCATTCTCAAAGGACCGGGTCTGCAGAAGAATGTGCATGTTTGAATCGATTGATTGACAAAAGGGTTTATTGGCGTGTCTGGGAAAATAAACAAGTGACTTAAAGCCTCCATCGGATTAAGACATCAGCATCACACGGTTTTTGTACCCGTAGAAAACTGACTTCCTGCCAATTCGTCCTTCTTCGAGTAGTAGGATGGCCGTGTCGTTTCTGTTGAGCGTCAGAGGCGCGGCAATAATATTGATTTGATGAAAGGAATTTTTGAAGGTGAAACAATCGCAATTCGCGTCTTTCTATTGCATGTCTCAATTACAAGAGAAATAGACTATATATAGACCATGGTTTGATTCGAAATAGGAAATCTCTTTCTAGGAAACCTATTCTAATTAGGAAATCTAATTGACTTATGAAACTTTCCTAAAATATAACTAGAAATAATATCTCACAATATCTATCAAAATATGGAAATACGAACAGACTCAAAAAGGAAACAAGTACTAACAAATTTGGTTTAATTTCTAACACTCCCCCTAAACCAAATTCTCTTCCATCGATCATTCCAAACAGGCTCTTGAACTTTCGAAAAGCATCGATCTTGAGAGGTTTAGTAAAAATATCTGCTACTTGATCTCCGGTCTTCACATGCAATACTTCAACTTCATTCTCTTTAACCTGTTCTCGGATGAAGTGATATCGAACATCGATATGTTTACTTCGTTCATGAAAAACTGGATTTTTCGCCAAAGCAATAGCAGAAACATTATCAACAAAAATCTCCGTTGCTTTCTTCTACTCCATAAGAATATCTTTGAGTAGTCTTCTCAACCATATTGCATGACAAACGCATGAAGATGCAGCTACATATTCAGCTTCACATGTCGACAGAGTAACACTTGATTGCTTCTTTGATGACCACGTGAAAGCAGTGTCGCACAAGAAAAATACAAATCCCGTGGTGCTTTTTCGGTCGTCGATATCTCCACCATAATCACTATCCGAATAAGCTCTAAGTTTGAAAGATTCAGAGCAATAATAGTGTAAACCATGAGAAATAGTACCTTTGATGTACCGAAGTATTCTCTTTGCAGCTTTAAGATGAGATGATTTCGGCTTCTCCATGTATCGACTAACAATTCCAACACTATACATAATATCCGGTCTCGTGCATGTCAAGTATCTCAAACTTCCAATCAAGCTTCTATAATATGTCGAATCAACATCGGCACCATCATCAAACTTCGAAAGCTTGGTTCCACACTCCATTGGTGTATTGACCGGCATACAGTTCTTCATGTTGAATTTTTCAAGGATATTTTCTGCATATCCTTTTTGGGAAATAAAAATCCCATCGGCACTTTGCTTCACTTCGATACCAAGGAAATAATTCATGAGACCATTATCGGTCATCTCAAATTCTTTCACCATCGATGCCTTAAAAGCATCAATCATCGCCGAATTATTTCCTGTAAAAACAAGATCATCAACATATAAACAGGCGAGTAGAATATCACCTTTTTCTTGCTTCAAATAGAGTGCATGCTCGTATGGACATTGAGAGAATCCATTCGCCTTGAAATATGCATCAATTCTGGAATTCCATGCTCTCGGTGCTTGTTTAAGCCCATATAGAGCTTTCTTCAACCTTAGCACTTTGTCTTCATAACCTTTTACAACAAACCCCTCGGGTTGTTCGACATAAATTTCTTCTTCAAGGATGCCATTCAAGAATGCTGATTTGACATCCATTTGATAAATCCGCCAATTATTTTGAGTAGCAATGGAAATAATCAATCTAATCGTTTCCATGCGGATGACAGGGGCAAAAACTTCATCATAGTCGATTTTGACTTTTTCCTTGTACCCTTTCGCTACTAATCTAGCTTTGTACCTTGTTACTTCACCTTTCTCATTCTTCTTGGCCTTGTACACCCATTTAACACCAATTGATTTCTTGTCCTTCGGAAGATTAGCAAGCTCCCATGTTTGATTTTTCTCGATGGCTTCAATTTCTTCGTTCATGGCTTTCCTCCACTTTTCTTCTTTGGCCGCATCATCATAAGCAAGTGGTTCATAATCTGCAAGAAGACATATAAGATGAAGCTCTTCGGTAGCTTCGTAAATTTCAGACAATCTTCTTGATCTTGGCACTAGCGGTTCATTGACACTATTTGAAGAGGATGGTGTTGATGAACTTGAATAAGATGTTGGAGAAGAAGGTGAAGGTTGATCTTTCAACTCCGTTTGATCGGAATCATCACGAACATTCGCTTCTTCTTTTAGATTTTCTTCCCACATTCCATCTTCATCGAACTTGACATCTCTACTTACATACACTTTCAAAGTGTTAGGGTCAAATAATCGATAGGCTTTGGATGATGAGTCATATCGATAAAGATGAGCTTTTTGCTCTTGTCTTCAAGTTTCGATCTTTTTTTATCCGGGACATGAGCATATGCAATGCTCCCAAAAATTCTCAAGTGCGAAACACTTGGTGTTCTCCCTGTCCATGCCTCTTGTGGAGTTACGCCTTCAGGTCCATATGTTGGACATCTATTTTGAAGATAGATGGCACACGAAACAGTTTCTGCCCAAAGTTCCTTGGACAAATTTTTGCTCTTCAACATGCTTCGAACCATATCAAGAATGGTTCTATTTTTCCGTTCAGCCACACCGTTTTGTTGAGGAGAATACGGGGCCGTCAAGAAACGCCGAATACCATGATTTTTACAGAATTTGTTGAATATGGCTGAGGTGAATTTTCCACCACGATCAGTCCTCAAAGCCTTGATAAAATAGCCGCTTTCCTTTTCAGCCAGGTTCTTGAATTGTTTGAAAATATCAAACACTTCTGTCTTTTCTTTCAAAAAATACACCCAAGTTTTCCGAGTAAAATCATCAATAAAAGTAACAAAATATCGATGATTACCATATGAGTGAGGATTGATCGGGCCACACAAATCAGAATGAATCAACTCAAGCGGCTTCTTCACTCGATAAGTCGCCTCCTTTGGAAAGCTAGTTCTGGAATGCTTGCCGATAACACACCCTTCACATAATTGATCGGGATGATCAATATGTGGTAAGCCATAAACCATCTTCTTGCGAGAAAGCAAATTGAGTCCGCCAAAATTGAGATGGCCAAACCTCAAATGCCACAACCATGAAGGATTATCTACGCACGTCTTTAGACATCGAGACATCTTACTCTTTATATTAAGAATAAACATCCTGTTCTTCGACATCTTCACATTTGCAATCAATTTATTATTCCAATCTCTCAACATAAGATTAAGATCTCTCATATGAACAGTATAACCTTTCTCCAGAAGTTGTCCCAAACTCAAGATATTGCTTGACATTTTTGGAACATAATAAACATTAGTAATAAACTGACGTGCACCATTCTTTAAGCGAATCAAAATTGTACCTTTCCCTTCAACAAGAATTTTAGAGTTATCACCGAATGAGACATTCCCTTTAATTGTCTCATCTAACTCGGCAAACATCTCATTTCTCCCACACATGTGATTACTTGCGCCGGTATCCAAATACCACGTATCGCTTTGACCTTCTTCATCTTCTTTGAATGCCAATAAGAGAACTTGATCATCATTATTTACCAAGTTCGTCTTTTCGTCTGGTCTGCTATTTTCTTTATTCCAGCAGTTAGAAGCATAATGGCCAAGTTTATTGCAATGATAACATCGGATTTTAGATTTATCATACCATTGGCTTGTCGAGTTCTTTTCTCATCCACGAACACCTCTTTGGTACTGGTATCCTCCATCATTTCGAGCAGGATCTCCTCTGCTTCGTCCGCGACCTCTTCCTCGAAAGTGACCTTGGCCACGACCTCGATCACGATCTTGATTTGTCCCGCGATTTTGTACGGGATCTCTTCTTTGCTCCTTTTCATCTCGTATGGTCAACTGCGTTTGGAGAACTTCTTCCACCGGTTCAATCTTTTTCTTTCTAAACATTTCTTCATGGGCTTGTAATGAACCCATAAGTTCATCGACCGTCATGGCATCCAAGTCTTTGGATTCTTCGATTGCAACCGCAATATAATCATACTTCTTGTCTAAGGACCGAAGTATTTTCTCAACAACACGAACATCGGAAACTTCTTCTCCGTTTCTTTTCATCTGATTAACAATTGCCAAAATTCTCGTGAAATAATCAGCAAATCGATTCAGATTCTTTCATACGAATTACCTCGAATTCGCCTCTCAAGGTTTGAAGGCGAATCTTCTGAACTTTCTGAACTCCTTGATGTGTGTTTTGAAGAATCTCCCATGCCTCTTTAGCGGTAGTGGCGTTCGAAACTTTTTCAAACATGGAATCATCTAACGCTTGATAGATGATCGACAGGGCATATTGATCTTTCGTTCGAGCCTTCTCCAAGGCATTCCTCTTATTCTGGTTCAACGTGGCTTCATCCTCTGGCTCATCATAGCCAGTGTTAACAAATTCCCACACACTGTAGGCGCCGAGTAGAGCTTTCATTCTAATAGCCCAGTTACCATAATTTCCTTTGGTAAGACGAGGGTATTGAAGAAGAAGCTGATTGTTCGTTGAGGCCATGATCACGAACCGTAAGCTCTGATACCAATTTGTTGAGCGTCAGAGGCGTGGCAACAATATTGATTTGATGAAAGGAATTTTTGAAGGTGAAACAATCGCAATTCGCGTCTTTCTATTGCATGTCTCAATCACAAGAGAAATAGACTATATATAGATCATAGTTTGATTCGAAATAGGAAATCTCTTTCTAGGAAACTTATTCTAATTAGGAAATCTAATTGACTTAGGAAACTTTCCTAAAATATAACTAGAAACAATATCTCACAATATCTATCAAAATATGGAAATACGAACAGACTCAAAAAGGAAACAAGTACTAACAAATTTGGTTTAATTTCTAACAATTTCTC